CAATACCCTGTCTCAAAAATAATCAAATAAATGAATAATTAAAATAAAATGGAAACTAAAAATCTAGAAAACATGTTCTTTAACGAGAAAATTCCATAGCATCCTTGCAAACACTTCACAGGGTACATACTGTGTGGAAAGCTTCTGACTGAATTCTAAAATCAATTATAAAAAAATTTGTAAGAAGCATACTTTGTGTTTTTACTGAGATAATTTTTATGCATTGTGAATCTGTAAGTTTCTTTCATATTAGTATTGATTGACAGAGTAATTCTGGATAGCTGACTAATGTGCTATGTGCTGCGTTGTGTAATTGTTTTATGGCTGTTGTCTTGATAGTATATCTGTGGACTAAGCAACAAGGTGAGAATTATTGCCTTGGTTTTATAGTTCAGAAGGAGTAAGCAGCTCAATTAAGAATGCCTGGCAGGCCTGGGGTTGTAGTTTGGAGTAGAAAGCTTGTCTTGCACGTGTAAGACTCAGGACTCAAGCTCAGCAAAGCAAAGCAACTACAAACAAATTAGTGTCACAAACACTTTGCTCACTGCTCTGCCCTGCATGCCATTCTACAGGATGGTCACATTCTCTTCATTATTCCTACTGATGCTAAAATAGGTCAGTGAATTTAGGTATTGTTGGACAAGGTTTTAGTTTTAAATCCAGGGTCATCTATTCCCTCAGTTAATTCTGTGCGCATACTGTTAGTCTTCAGGCATCTGCACTGGCCTGTTCTTGGGGTTCTGACAGGATGCACCCTCAGCTGCAGCCACTAAGAGTACCACCTGTAGCCGGGCCTTGGTGGAGCACGCCTTTAATCCCAGCACTTGGGAGGCAGAGGCGGGCGGATCTCTGTGAGTTCGAGGCCAGCCTGGTCTACAAAGTGAGTTCCAGGACAGCCTCCAAAGCCACAGAGAAACCCTGTCTCGAAAAAAAAAAAGAGTGCCACCTGTGCATATTCATTGTGTTCCCTTTTAAAAGGGCCCTGCCCACCTCCCATCCTTCTCTCCCTCTCTCTGCCTGCTTCCCTCTCTTTCTCCTCCTTCCCTCTCTCTTTCTCTCTCTCCCCCTCTATCTTTTCTCCTCTCTCCTGCTGCTCCTGTCTCCCCAGGCCAGTATCCCCTTCCCTAACAAGAAAACCCTCTGCTTGAACCCTGTCCCAAGGCATCTTTCTCTCATGTGCCACTTTTCTTAAATATGCCATGGTAGGTAGTGGGTATGACAGAGGGCGCAGTTTTCACACTGTGGACTGAGAAAACTGATGTTACAAGAACTAGCTCACTTGTGTGTATTCCAGAACACCAGTACACTGGAGCCTTCGCTCGGGCTGCCCTCCCCACAGACAGCCAACCTGCTGCCTCCTAACTGTCCTTACTCTCTTTACTCTAACCATCTCCTCAGTCGTATAAAACCAGAAAAGGATTTTCTGGTATGAAGACAGAATGAAAACATTTTAGAAATAGATCCAGAGAGCAATAGGCAAGGAAATAATTTTTAAAAAAACAATGAAAGAGGTGTCAGGATAAAGATGAGAAAGATGATGAATATCAAAAATAGGAGAAAAAGAAACCAATAAAACTCAGAAATAAGTATACACAGTTATAGTCATGAATTTTTAAAAAAATAATTTAGTGTGTGTGTGTGTGTGTGTGTGTGTGTGTGTGTGTGTGTGTGTGTAAGAAAGTGAGGGTAAGAGAGTAAGACAGAGGGAGAAAGTGCTTGTGTGGAGATCAGGTGACAACTTTCAGGAGTTGGTTCTCTCTTTCCATGTGGTTCTAGGGATGAAACTCAAGCTGCCAAGCTTGACCGCAATCACCTCTATGCACAGAGCTGTCTCTCCAGCCCAGTTATGTGACTTTTTAAAGATTTGTGTAATGTTAAATAAAAACATAAAAGCCTGTTCTTCAATTAATTTAAGAGTGAGGATTGGCTATAAAGAGGACAGGAATAAAATGTTTTCTACAACATTCTAAAATATTAGAGCCTTTTAAGAAATAAAATGATCCCTGGAGGGCAGACAAGCAAGTAAGTAGAAGGAATAAATAAGTAGAACAGACATGGCCATTGCTCTCACAAATTCACAGTAGCTATGAATGCCTGTACAAGGTCAAGCCAACATTCTAGATGGCAACACTCATTGGAATCAAATTAAAACAGAGAGGAAAAAAATGGAGAGGGGACACATGTTAACAATGTCTGGAAGGAGTTGGGGGGAGTTGGAGATGGATATGATCAAGATATATTATATACATGTGTGAAATTGTCAAAAATAAGAGATAAAAATAAATAAATGGAACAGAGTGAACAAGGAATTCATGTCATCACAACGATTGTATTTAAGCCATTAAACATAGAATATGTTTTTGGTGTTGAAATAGGACAAGCCCAGTTAAGTCAAAGAGAAACCTAAAAATCACATGATCAATTATTCAAATACATAACATTTAAGAACAATTTATGACTACTAAAAATACAAGCTCAAATTGGGTGGTGGTGGTGCACACCTTTAATCCCAACACTCAGGAGGCAGAGGCAGCCAGATCTCTGAATTCGACTCCAATGTGATTTACAGGAGTTACAGGACAAGCTCCAAAGCTACAGAGAAACCCTGACTCAAAAAAAATGCTCAAAACTAAAGAGATAAACTTTATAGATGGGGAGAGAATACTTGTAAAACAGATTAGACAACTATCATGAACAATGTGTGTACAGAATACCACATAACTACTAGTGCAAACAACCTGATTAAAAAAACAAGCAAAACACACAAACAAATAAATAAGAACAAAATAAATGCTTAGTTAAGAAATAAAAATGTGTTTCAAGAAGTAGATTCGGGTGAATGGGAAAGTTAAGAGGATCTGAAAGGAATTGAGGGAAGGGAAACCATGATCAGACTATATTGTGTGAAAAAAATCTGATTTTAAATCAAAAGAAAGTGTAAAAACAAAATAATAAAAATACGTAAAGCAAAAACAAAGAAGTAAACCTTGACACAGGATAGAACTATTCCCGGTCATGGGATTTTAACAATAACATAATACATTTTTGCTGGCATTTTCACTCATGTGTATAGTGCCTTCTGGTTAGCCTAACACTCCACCAGGTCTCCCTCCCTCCCATCCCTAACCCTCCCCACCCCGCTGTCCCTTCCTCTGTGTCCTCCCCCCCATTCATTCTCTTTGGTTTCTTCTGCATCCCTGTGTTTAAGCAGCTCTGTCCTTGTGAACGTTGGTTTGGAACTTTCCCTTGCAGTATGTTGGGCTTCTCAGTAGGTATGAAAATAAGGACTACAGCCATGAGATATTTTCATGTTTTGTACCCTGCCTAGGCCCAGAGTGGATGGGGATACAAAGAACAGAACTCTCAGGCCCTTCGGGCTTGGCCTTCCACCTGTGCTGAACATAGTGGGTCCTGCTGGCTGCCCAATGGACCCCAACCCAGATCTTTGCTTTTTCTCAGGGTACCCTTGCTCTGAGCAGCCCACAAGCCAGTAGGCTGGTGCACTGGACCTCAGCCCCGCCTCCTGCAGCTGGTGATTGGTCAGAAGACAGGACGGACAAGGAGTGACCAGAGAATTTTGCTAAAAGCTTTTTTTTTCTTACGTTCATTTTTGCTGTTGTTGTTGTTGTTGTTGTTGTTGGGTTTTTGTGGGGAAGCAGGGTTTTGAGATAGGGCTTCTCTATGTAACAATCTTGGCTGTCCTGGAGCTTGCTTTGTAGATCAAGCTGGCCTTGAACTCATAGAGATCTAGCTGCCCGCCTCTGCCTCCCCACTGCTGGGATTAAAGGCATGCACCACCACTTCCAACAAGTTCTTCATTCTTAAGGAGAATATAAAAATTCCAAACTTACTTTCTCCTACAACAGGGCCAAGCAAGAACATGGCTCTCAGCCTGTTGGACTTCTCAGAGTCCTCCTCCTAGCTTCAGAGACACCACATGGTCCTCCGTGTGCAGGCAACTCACTGGGTACCAAGTAGACAAATCCATCTGTGAAGACCGTATCTGTGTGTAGAGAAGAAGTGGAAAAGAACAAATGAGTAAAATTACAGAGTAGCAGCATGTAGTGGAGGAAGACTGACAGCATCAGATAGTAGCACCTCCCCAGAAGGGCCCATGTGGACATATGCTTGGAAATGAGGAGGGAGAAAGCCCCAGAGCCAGGGTATGCCTACACCGTTCTAGTGTGAGAACGAATCGGATAGTGGAAAGATGTTGGGAACTTGACTGTGTAGAACCTTGCCAGCGTGGTCAGGGGCAATGTTTTGTTCTGAATAAAATGAAGGTCACTGGAGAAGGTAGGGAGGTGACATGGTCTCGGTGTCATTAGATAATTCTAGCCACTGTGTTGTCTGGTCACAGGCAGCCTGCAGAGCAGGAAGAAGAGGCAGGTGGATTAACATCAATCAAATAGTGTGCAGGGAGTCCCTGGGCCGCATCCCAGCACTGTATAAACTGGGTGTGGCTTACTTGTCATCTCAGCAGTTAGGAAGTGGATGCAAGAGCATCAGGAGTTCGAGGGCATCCTTGGATAAAGAGTTGGAGGACAGCCTGGGCTACATGAGACCCTGTCTCAACTAAGTAATGAAAATTTTGAAACGAACACCTCGAGTAAGTCCCTAATAAATGACAGTTGTAATTATTATCCCCTTCTTCATAGCAGTAATAACAGTATTGCTGGTGATGGATGGAGAAGATGAAGGAGCTAACTGAGCTCTGGAGTGTGGCATGCTTGGACCCAGCACTTGAGAATCTGAGGCCAGAGGATCATAGGACTGAAGCAGCCTGAACTCTGTAATCAGAATTTGTCAAAGCCAAAACCAAACAAAAAACCAGGCCCTAAGCTTCAGTCACTTTGTGTGAAATGCAATCCCCTGAATCTCTCTCTCTCTCTCTCTCTCTCTCTCTCTCTCTCTCTCTCTCTCTCTCTCTCTCTCTCTCTCTCTCGTCAGAATCTGGGGTTGAAAGAGATGCTTCCTTTGTTCTGTACTGTTTCTGTTATCACAAATTACCTAAAACGCAGCACTTACCCACCAAGTGACTGTTAATTGTGTCCCTCTTGCTGCTGAGAAGAGGAGGCACAGGGGTTAGTTAGCAAGTTACCCAGCTGAAGGTGCCAGAGCTTCATTTGAACCAGAGACTCACAGTTCCCCGTGCTGGAACTTCCCGGGAGTGGGGTAACCTGGGGTAACCAGCTCTGAGCAGAGTGTTAGGAAGCTATGGTGATGCTTAAGGCCTGGGACTAGGAAGAGGAGCGATACTTCCCTGCTTTGCTTTTCTAAACCATTGCTCTCCAGTCTGTTGGGAAAGTTACATTCGGTTAATAAATGTGGTTGTTCTATAATGAAAACCTTGAAATCCCGAAAGATCCCACCCAATCTGAAAACCTCGCCATCCACTGGACGATATAAAGGAAAACGAAACATTTGAAAGGTGCCACGGTGTTGACCTCCCTCCCACTGCACTCTCTCTGTTTTTCAAGGACTCTCCACGGAAAACATGCCAATAGGATTCCTGGAGGCAAAAAGTTAAGTGTAACCACAGCATTACTTTTAGAAATTTCATGATAATAGGACTTTTTATACAATTAGAAATAACCTTGAATCTCTTAGTTCTCTGCTTAATACAGACTTGCTACAGCATGTGATTGAAAGGTTAAGATCTGTCTCTCTGCAGTACTTACCCTCGATTGCTTAGTCTGTTACTACAGAGTGGCGATGGCTCTGTCTTACAGCAGCACTTACCCTCTGTTGCTTAGGCTGTTACTACACAGTGGTGATGGCTCTGTCGTTGCAGCAATGCTTAGCTTCTACTGCTTAGGCTGTGTTTACACAGTGTCTATGACTCTATCAACGTATCAGTGCTCATACTCTTCTGCTTAGGCTGTTATTACATAGTGGCTATGGTTCTATCATTGTAGAAAACTTCCACAACACCCATACAGTCACTTTTTGTATCATATGAAAAAATAATATAAATGAATGGCAATTTGTGTCCAAAATAAGAGAACTAAGTTAGACATGGTGGTCACCATTGTGGTCCCAGTACTCAAGAGTCTAAGGAATCATAGTGCTGACACGAGCCAGAGTTACACAGCAAGGTCCTGTCTCAAAATAACAAACAAACAAAAAAATAAAGAAATAAGAAAAACAAAGTTTTATAATTTACTTTTATAATTCCTACAAACTTTTCACTAGCTAGAACTCTAGATAGTTTCAAATGGCCAGAAATTATAAGACAAAGCGATCCATCGTTTCTGGTCAGTTGTAAAGTGATTACTAGAGGGTTCCTATAAAGTATGTTCTGAAAGTTTGAAAATTGTTTATTTGCACGTGCATGTTCACATGTACACATGAATGCCACGTGTGGAGATCAGAGGACAGCTTGTGGGGGGTCCTGGGGATTGAACTGAAGCCATCAAGCTTAGTGACAAGAGTCTGTACCTTCTGAGCAATCTTCCTGCCCCATGAAGTATGTTTGACTCAGCGCAGTGCAGACTTACTGTGTATCACTCTTAGGCAAGCTTCGTATCACTTAGATATATTATCAGCACTGAAATTTCTTTTTTTTTCTCTTCTTAGAGGTGTGCCTATCATTTGATCTAGTAATCTCCAGGGAAATCAACAAAAGGAAGTCAAATGCTACATAAGATGTTCATTTCAGTACTGTGTATATAACTGTAGGAGTAGAAGAAACCCGGCTGACCAGCAATGGAGGAATACTTCAATAGGAATTCATCTACTTCATGTAAGACTGTGTGGTCATTAAACAAATACTAGAACACACTGTTAAGATGTGTCTTGCTGAACAGTTCAGTCCTAACCAATTCAGCTGCCATCATGTTCCTGGCACGTGTACAATGCCACCAGAACTTAAGGGTGAGACAAGAGGGGAGCCACAAGACAAGGGGTGAAGACTTTTGGGTTCCTAGGTTAATTACCAGGCCCACCTATGTGACTTCAGCTATGCTTTGCCATGCATTACTACCAGCTACATGAGGCAGAGGGATTTCTTCGTTGATGAGGCATTCTGCCACTCTATTGAAGTCATTGTGGAAACCCTTTTCAGACAGTAAGAGGTATCCCTATGTTTCAGTGCATCTCTCTGCTATAGAGACTTGTTTTTCAGCTTTGCAGCCCTGAGGTACGTCCCACATATGAATGGAAGTCTTTGTGTCACAAAAGTAAACTCATCAGCTTCTATGCCATGAAGAAGAAATGTTCATCTTCTAGGGTGCACACATGCAAGCCACCTCTTTAAAATCAGCCCCTTCAACAGCACTGAGCGCGCCTCTGTGTGGGACGTATCAATGTCCATTAATTGCAGGAAGAAGAGCCGAGATTCCAATGGCAAAATCTGTAAAAGTAGATGTACAAAGAAAAAAGGAAGCATCTGTTCAATCCATGCGACATTAGAATTTAATTTTACCTCTGCACTGCTTTTGTGGGGCTGCAGTGCTGGAGCAGAGCGCATAAGCATGGCCATGCAGTGTCAGCAGGTGCATGCCACCAAATTACTGCTTTTCATTTGCATATTCATCTGCTAAGAAGCATGTCATTATCATATCAAAGGGATACTAAGCAACATCTAGCTTGGAGAGATGTGGCATAGCTTCAATAGGAGCAATTAATGCAAGATGAGGACTCTCTGTCATGTCTCCCAGGGCTTGCTGTAATCGGGCTGATTATTGGAGACCAATAAGACCAGGGCCCAGTTGGCACCAAACAGGGGAAGAACTGGAAGGAGGCTGCTTGTCCTCTCCACTGTACACTTGACAGCAACAGGAAGCTCTGGTCACTCCAAAGAATGCAGCTCATATTACTCATGCTGCAGCGAACTCCCATCTGTTCCTGATGTTACAAAATGACCAAACACTGCCTCTAAGTAGTTATGTATCAAAAAAAATTCAATCTAGCATCCCAAGAGCACATATAAAGAATGGTGGTGTTAGAGTTGCATTTACAAACGTGTTGGCACTCAGTAAATTCCATCTGGACAAACTCCATCCCCCTGCAAACACTGGGTCACCTATAGAAATCAGGCTGCATCACACTCCGGGCATATGACCCTTGCCTGTCCCTGACCTTGTCTAACACAGTTGCGCAGAGATGTGTAAAGCAGACTGAACTGGTAGAACATTGACTTTTTAGTTGCTTGCCAGCTGAAGGAAGGCCGCCATAGTTTTAACTGCCCCCTGCTTCTCGGGCTACCCAGTGGCATCTTCAAGAGCCAGCATTCCCAGCTCACTTCAGCTCATGCCACGTTTACTCTTTTCATGGTAATACTCAGGCAAGGTACTGCCCTAAACAGCTTCTTAAATACTTGAATGGCAGGAATCGAAACAAATCTTCCCATTGGCTTGCTTGTTCTCCATCTTGTGTTGGATGCGCTGGTTGTAAGTTGTGCTTTTGAAAAGCAGAAACCGGTAGCTTGTTTCCTAGAGCATTTAGAATGAGGTGCTGTGTGCACACGCTTCATTCATTTATTCAGGAAATGTCTTTGAACATTGGTGGACCAAATGCTTCTATAGCATGAGGGTATTGCTGTGGGCAAACAAGCCAAATGCAGCCCCGGAGCTCCTGTTCGGGCATGTGCCAGTGTGTGTACGGTCTCCCAAGCACACGCCTAACGGGAAGTCTGACAATGGCTGTTACGGGAGTACTTCGTCTACACCTCATTGGCTGACGTGGGCGATGAAAGGAACAGAAAGTTAACCTTGAAACGTTCAGACCAGTGAGTGGCCTGAGGGCTGGAGAGATGGCTCAAGATGAAGAACAGTTGAGGCTCCAGTGGAAACTCTGGTTTGGTTCCTAGCACCTACACAGCAGCTCACAACCCCATAACTCCAGAATCTGATGTCCTCTTCTTACTCAGTGGCCACCAAGTGTACACATGCAGGGCAACACATGAAATATAAATATATGAGCCTTTAAAAAAAGAGATACTTATAAATGGAACCAAACTTTCAAGGAAGAAAGCATTTTAGATGACTGTTCAATCTTCCCAGCAGGTTGAAACACTTCCCGAACCAACAATGGTAAGGTAGTCTAGTGCCAGAACCTTCGCTAATCAATTCCATCATAGTCTCAGGAAGACACGTTAGAAGGCAAGCAGGACAGAAGGCTGCAGACACAGAAACCAAAAACTCTCTTAGAGAGTTCGTGTGTTGAGTGACCCAGTTGGGAAGCGGTTGGCTGAGACAGAGACTCGGGATTTCCTGTTGTCACATAAGCGTTCTGCTCACGGTAGGTTCATTGCTACCCCATGTGCACTCCATCGCCTTTTGGCACTGAGCGTGACTATCAGAATTTGGTGATTCTAACTAGTCACTCTGATCTGAAATCCATTTCCCCCAATGCTTCTCCCTCACATTCAGGGTTAGATTTAATCTGTCATGGCAAAGGGTCAGAAATTTGCACAAATGCCACAAATGTCACACTGTTATCTCCTTGCCTATATTTCACCACTCAGATTGGTTTTTCCTCTAACACACACACACACACACGCACACACAATGTTATCTTTGCTCTTAAATTTTACTTGTGAGGTTTTGTTGTTGCTTGAGTTTCTAAGGAAAGATAACAATTTGACTTCATTCACAGGCATATGTGTGGGGAGTAACAAAACCAAGTGGCATTACCGTGTCTCGAAGACAAAGAAAACAGTTTTCTTTAGAAGAACCAACATGTTATGGCATAATTCAAGTAGCCGGAGATAATTTTTTATGTCCATAAAAGAAAAAAAAAGCTATGATGTGATTGATAATCATAATAAATAACCAGGTGAGGAAAAAGGAGACTTCATCACACACCAGGTTTTCTGCACAAGAGAAGTGAGAAACAGCAACAGAGGAAGATAGTCATGCTGTCAGTAACAGCAGAGTGTACACGGTGGACCGATTTTAACTGCACAAGATGTGGAGTGACGGACTCCCCTTGCATGCTTTGTTAGGCTAGACTCATTGATGCCTCACCGGAACTATAAATTCTTGACTAACTTAGCTTAGAAGCCAAGTGAATGTTGTTTATTAAAACTACTATGAGGGGCAATGAGACAGGGCAATAGGTAAAAGTGCCTGCTACCCCACCTGAATTCAACCCTTGGGACCTATGGGTAGAAGGAGAGCACAGACTCTCACGTGTTGTGAGCTCCACATGTATGCCATGGTGTGTGGGTTAGGGTTAGGGCTAAATAAATTAAAAATTGCAAAATGTAAAACTAATCAGAACCAAGAGAAGGTCTTCATGAAGCTGTCCACAGAACACTGGTGAACTATAGATATGTTATGTGTAGTTATTTTAAAAGTAAGGAAACTTCAAGTTAGAATAACTAAATTTTTTTTTCTTACTTGGTGGAGATGTCTGGGGATACCAACCTGTGTTAGTAGCAACAGCTATCAGAACTAAGTAACTGATGCCCCATTAGGTTGGGTGACTCTGCTTGGCCACAGTCGCCTCCAGTCCTATTGGACTATGACACCTAGCCCAGTCACCTCCCTGGACTTTTCATCTCCAGTTTGCTGAGTGGTATTTTAAGCCACAATCTTATTACCAAAACCCTAGAGCAGTGGTTCTCAACCTGTGGGACACAACCCCTTTGTGGGTCAAATGCCCTTTACACGGGGGTCACCTAAGACCACCGGAAAGCGCACACAATTACATCATGACTCCTAACAGTAGCAAAATCACAGTTATGAAGTGGCAATGAAAATAACTGTATGTCTGGGGGTCAGCACAACACGAGGAGCTGTGATAAAGTGCCACAGCATTAGGAAGGGTGAGAGCCACTGCCCTGGAGAATCCTAAGAGGCATGGGGCACCGTGGTGTTTACAGACCAGTGCGTTTCAGCTCCGGGAAGTAAGGACTATTTACTCAGTTGTGCATGAGAGAGACTGCTGTGTGCTTTGCATGATGCTGTTGGTGGAGGTGAGGAGGTGGCACTGAGAACAAGGCACATTTACAGCAGTCGTCCTCAAGCTCAGCTGCACGCCGCAAGGTTGAAAGACCTGAGTCCTCAGCTTCAGGTTGGAAGCTTGGGAGGTGGGAGTTCTATCCCAGTCCACCCAAGGCAAGATAGCTGATCCAGGCTGGTGTGTGTGTGTGTGTGTGTGTGTGTGTGTGTGTGTGTGTGTGTGTGTGTTTCCCCCAAGTTTCTCTGATTTTAAAGTGTAGCCTAGGATACAAACCCCTTGTTCAGATATCAAAGGACAAGATAATTTCCAGGTTGTGCTTAATTCTGTTTTTATTCGTTTTAAAACATGTGCATAGCCAGACACTTAGCATCACAAAGAAATAGTGCATGTATTGAATGTTTTAATTTCAAATGTGCACAGTCAGCTGCACCATACAGGCAAAGCACTAATAAACCTAAGCTGAGTTTGAGCTAGCTCAGCTCTGTGTTAGGATGTGAAGCTCTGCTGTTTGAGTCCTGACGAGAAGCAAATGTTGACATTCTGTTCCCTGTGTGTCGTGGTTGTCACATATCTTCACATGGCTGAATTTCAGTATCATGTATCTGAGATCCACCCAGGCCTCCAACTGTGGGGAGCAGCCGAGAGTTAGCCAGTTCTCATGAGCCGGCCTTGAGTCTTTCCTCATACCTTAAGCTTGTTTTAGGCATGACACAAAGCTCAGCTTGATCAGTCAATCAAATAAAAACTAATGACAACAGCTTGGTTACCTTAAATAAACAATAATTCTTATATAAGTGATCAAATGGTTATAAATATGCTTATTTGCATGTGTAGCCCCCTTATAGCATAAATGTACTACTGGGCTTGATTAAATTGTTGGAGACCCAGACTAATGGCTGAGAGACCAACAGGGGACTGACCCAGACTCCATAAATGTAGTGCCAGGGAGGAGGCCACAGAAATCACTGGGGCCTTGGGTAGTAGATCAATGTTTACCATGGTTTATGAATGATCTTTGGGAGCCCATTCCAAATGGAGGCATGCTCTCTCAGCCTGGACACATGGGGAAGGGCCTAGGTCCTTCCCTGGATGAAATGACAGACTTTGGAGATCCCCCCCAACGAGGGCCTCACCCTCCCTGGGGAATGATATGGGGGTTGGGTGGGGGGCTGGGGGGACTGGTGGAGGGACAAGGGAGGAGGGGTGGGGGAGGGAGCTGGGATTGACATGTGAAGCATTCATGTTTCTAATTTAAATAAAAACATATATTGAGGGAAAAAGAAATAATAGTGATAAATAAAAATAAATAAACAAATTGTTGGAGAAACTCAATGTAACTTTTCTGTTTAACAGTTCCAATATGACAGGGACCAGAGAGGAGCATGCAAGCAGCAAGTGTCATTATTGACTCATGGGAAATGTGCCATAATTTTTGCTTGAAAATAAACTCATGAATCATAGATGAGTATTTGTTTTCGGAGGCCTCCTTTGGTTAGAAAAGCATGTCAATTCCTTCCTCCTTCAGAATTTGTTGTTTCCACCCAGTGTGCTGACAGAAGTCTACATAAAAGCGGGTTTAATGGCAGAAGCATCACTGCCTAAAATTAGAGCGTTTACTTCAGGCACGACTCACCACAATGCATCAACACACCACAAAGGCTGGTGATAAAGCAAGGCTTCAGATGTCCCAGCTCTCTTCCTAAGTGGGCATGCTAATAAGCTCTACTTTGCAAACAGAAGACATTTGGGTCTCCTGCTGGCCCATACCAATCCCTGTGGCCTGGGTGATAGGGCCCCTGATTACCTAGGCCTGGGTCATGATTCATGATATCTTCCCCCACCCCACCCCACCCCCCCACCCCCCCACCCCCGCATTCAGGAGGGATGTGAAAGGTGAGGGACTTTCAGCCTACCTGATATAGGAAGAGATTCTCTCCTGTGAACAAAAGCTCCGCTACCAGAAGAATGTGGGAAAGGGGACAGTGCGTCTTCTGCTTTGCCCACAAGCATAACCTGGCCTTCCCTTCCCTGTAACGCATGGTTGCTGGC